GGAGCCTGAGAAATCTCAGATCAAGGTGTAGACTTGATGTCTGATGAAGAACCACTTTCTCTCCAGGTGGGAAAGGCCAAGGAGCTCCGCTGGGCTTCTTTTATAAGGGCACTAATCTCGTTCGTGAAGGCTTTATCCTTGTGATCTAATCAGCTCCCAAAGCTCTCACTTCTTTTTTTTTTTTGGAGAGGTTTTCACTGTAGGGCGCGTGTGCTCGCCAGACAGACAGAGAGACATAGAGACAGAAAGCGAGAAATCACCCCCCAGGGGGGATGGTCACGCCGCAATCCCTTCTCCTCCATTCTCCTCTCAGGATCTTGGGCACGCATGCACACGCGACCAGCGTGAGTTTCAAACCACCGTGTCCAGGACGCGAACCGCGGTCGACTACGTGGGAGTCCAGCGACATAGCCATTACGCTAACTGCTGGTTCCTGCTCTCACTTCTTAATACCCTCACAGTGTAGAGTAGGTTTCAATGTATGAATTAATTCTGGGGGAGAAAAAAGTATTCAGACTCTAGCACATATGATACTTTTGTTAACTCTTTTTTCCTTCTTTTAGAATTTGGCCAGAGGGTGTGTGTGCTGAGACAGAGAGAGAGGGAAAGCAAGAAATAACCCCCAGTGAGGGATGGCCATGCTACAATCCCTCCTCCTCTTCTCCTCTTGGGATTTTAAACATGCCTACATACACAGTTTCAAAGCCACCGGGTCTGGGACTCAAACAATAGTCGACTATGTGGAAGGCCAGGGATTTAACCATTATGCCATCTGTTGGTCCCCAGAAGTTATTAATTTTTAATAAAATAAATTTATCAATTTGTTATTTTCTAGCTCATGCTGTTGATTAACTCAAGAACTTTGTAATTTTAGCTCTTACATTGAGGGCTACAGTCAATTCTGAGTTCATTTTTGTATACACTGTGAAGTGTAATTTATGTTTTGCCTCCCCCCCCCCCCGTTTGTTTCCCACCTAGGGGCCAGCAGATGGTGTGGTGGTTAAGGCACTGAATTCCCACATGGCCAACGGCAGTTTGAGTCCCAGAGCCAGTGGCTAAAAATTCGTGCAGGCAAATGGAAAAGGGATTGCCATGTGGCCATTCACCCTGGGGGATGAGTTTTCATTTTCCTTCTCACTCCCTTCCTCATCCCAAGCACACTCACCCTAAGGCAAAAGTCTCTTTTCCCCCCTCATCTCAAGGGTACTCACTCTAGGGCAAAAGCCTCTTTTTGCCTATGCTTGCTGGAGAGATACAGACAGATACAGTGCGAGTGAAAGTGAGAAATCATTCCCCAGGGAGGATGGACACACTGCAATCCCTTCTCTTGGGATCTTGGGCACACACGCACGTGCACACGGCATGATTTTTGACCACCGGGTCAGGACTTGAACTGTGGTCAGCCATGTGGGTATTCAGTGCCTTAACCACCACACCATCTGCTGGCCCCTAGGTGGCTGCTATTTAACCTACTACAATATCTAATTTTCTCAGTAACATTAATTAAAAACCAGCTTCTAAATTGTCTTGGCGCTTTCTTGAAAATTAACTGACCAGGAGGATTTATTTCTGGACTTGCAATTCTGTTCCATACTAGCTTACTAACTGCAGTATTACAGTGAAATCTGAAATTAGGTAATGTAAATTCTACTTGGTTCTTAAAAATTGTTTTGGTTATTGAGACCAGCAGATGGTGTAATGGCTACGTCGCTGAACTCCCATGTAGTCAACTGCGGTTTGAGTCCCGGACATGGTGGCTTAAACTCATGCTGGGCACGTGTGCGTGTGTGTCCAAGATCCCGAGGGGAGAATGGAGAAGGGACTGCGGCATGGCCATCCCCCAGGGGGTGATTTCTTGCTTTCTGTCTTTTTCTGGTGAGCACACACGTCGTATAGTTAAAAAAAAAAATCTCTCCAAAAAAAAAAAAAAAATTGTTTTGGTCACATTTCCCATATACATTTTGGAATCAACTTATCAATTCATGCATGAAAGCTTCTTGAATTTTGATAGGGACTGAATTAAATCTAGAGATTGATTTGAGGTATCTTCTAGTCCATGGACTGGCTCTTCATTTATCTAAATCCTCTTTAAAATTTTTATAGCAGTTATTTTGTAGTTTGCAACGTATAAGTCTTTTACTTTTTGTTAAACTTATTTTATTCTTTTTGATATTAAGACATTGTTTCCTTGACTTGATTTTCAGATTTTGCTTATAGAAATACAACTAATTTTCGTGTTGATCTTATATCCTCCCATCTTCCTGAACACACTTATTTATTTATTTTTTTTGCTATAGGGTACGTGTGCTTACCAGATAGAGACAGAGAGACAGAAAGAGAGAAATCACCCCCCCAGGGGGGATGGCCACGCCACAATCCCTTCTCCTCCGTTCTCTTCTTGGGATCTTGGGCACGCACACACACGCACGCGGCTTGAGTTTAAGCCACCAGGTCCGGGACTCGAACTGCAGTCGACTACGTGGGAGTCCAGCGACATAGCCATTACGCTAACATGCTGGTCCCAACACACTTACTTTTTAAAAGATTTAATTGTACGTATCATTTTTAAAAAACTTGCTATAGAGCATGTGTACACGCACAAGAGGGAGAGAAAGCCATCAGGTCTGGGACTAGAACTGTTGTTAACCATGTGGGAGCCCAGTGCCACCTGCTGGCCCCTGAATACATTAGTTAATTCTTGTTTTTTTTTTTTTTTAAAGAATTATTTATTTAATTTTATTTATTCATTTGTTTTATTTATTTATTTTAATTTGACCAGAAAGACACAGAGAGGGAGGGAGAGAGGGAAAGTGAGAAAGCAAGCCACCAGGTCCGAGACTCAAACCATGGTCGGCCATGTGGGAATCCAGCGCCCCTATCCACCACGCCACTTGCCGGCCCCAGTTAATTCTTGGTTTTTAGTACACTCCTAAGAATTTTGCATGTAGTGTCATGTCATCTGAAAACAAAGATTTTTTTTTATGTCTTTCTTTCCAATATGTGTGACTTTAGTTTTTCTCCTTTATTATTATACATGCTAGATTATGCAACAAAATTTTGAATAGAAGTTAAGCATGTTTGGATCTTTGTTTTTGAGGAAACTTGTTATGTAGGTTCCTTTGTCTAGCTGTGGTACAAGGATAATGTCCTCATAGAATAAACTGGGAGGTGGGAACCAGCAGTTAGTGTAATGGCTATGTCGCTGGACTCCCACTTAATTGACTGTGGTTCACGTCCCGGACCCGGTGGCTTAAAACTCACGCCGGGCGTGTGTGCGTGCGTGCCCAAGATCCCGAGAGGAGAATGGAGGAGAAGGGATTGCGGCGTGACCATCCCCCCTGGGGGGTGATTTCTCGCTTTCTGTCTCTATGTCTCTCTCTGTCTGCCTGGCGAGCGCACGCGCCTTATAGTGAAAATCTCCCCCCCCCAAAAAAAAGAATAAACTGGGAGGCGTTTCCATCTTGTCTTTTACTGAAAGAAACCCGCGAACGCTGGCATTACTTGTCAACTATGCGAGGGAGTTCACCGGTGAGGCTACCTAGATCTGCACACTTTTGCAGGAACTCTTTCGTTAGAGTTCTATTGAGATTTTCTATTTCTTCTAGGCTTGGTTTGCTCATTTGTCTTTTTGGAATATGTTCCTATTATTTAAGTTCCCTGACCTGCTGGCTTAAACGTCCAACATTCCTTTATACCCTTTCTGATTTCTGTGAGAGTGGTAGTGATGCTGCCCCTTTACGTCTCGATTTCGGCAATGTGTATCTTCTGTTACTTTCTTGGCCGGTCCAATTAAAGGTTGGCCAATTCTGTTAATCTTTCTAAAGAGACTTTTGGTTTCAGAATTTTGTTACTCTTTTTAAAGAAAGACTTTCAGTTTCGGTCATTTTATGTATTATTTTTCTGATTTGCTCTCTAATCTTTATTTTCTTCCTTCTGTTTGTTTGGGTTTAACTTGTCTTTATTTTTGCACTTTCATAAGGTGGAAGGTTAAATTGATTGGAACCTTTCTTCCTTTTTGTTTTTGAGAGCTCTTTGCTATAGGGTGCTGGCGAGACCGAGACAGACAGAACATGAGAAATCACTCCCCAGAGGGTATGGCCATGCTCTAATCCCTTCTCCTCCATTCCCTTCTCAGGATCTTGGGTATGCATACAAATGCGCCCAGCGTAAGTTTGAAGCCGCTGGGTCTGGGACTCGAACTGCGGTTGACCATGTGTGAGTCCAGTGACGTAACCATTCCGTCATCTACTGGCCCCTCAACCTTTTTAAATTGAGACTTACATAACAGCCCAGCATGGCCTGTCCTGAGAATGTTTAATGTATGTGTTTCATATTTGGAAAAAAAATTTTTTTTAAGATTTAATTTTACTCATCATCATCATTTTTAAACTTGCTACAGGGCATGCACACTCACCAGAGACAGAGAGAGAAGTGAGAAAGCAAGCCACTACGTCTTGGATTTGAACTGTGGTCAGCCAGGTGGGAGTCCAGCACCTTAGCCACCAAGTCAGTTGCTGGTCTCCCACCCCTTTTGATTTTTTAAAATATGTCACTGCATTGTAGTCATGCTATAGTTTTAATATATAGACTTCATTTTTGGTTCTTGTTTAAAACCCAGGTGTTCAAGGGCTGAAGCTAAGCAACACTGTTTTGCTCCACCATCTTTCCTAGAAACCAATCATTTTTTTAAAAAGCAATAAACATCTAGATATTGCTGTTTTGAATCGCAAAGGATTATAAACCAAGGTTGAAAGTTACTATTCTCATCTGTTTATGAAAAGAATGGCCCTGGAATTGTTGTTGTCTTATATAGTGACCTAGGGAATGTCAGAGTCAATATATCCGTTGGTTAGGTGTAAAGAAAGACACCAATACATGAAATGAGCACTTCCTAAAACAAAATAGAATATGTGCACGAGAGCTGGGCACCACCCCAGGGCTACGGAAAGTCGGAGCAGGAGACTCCCCAGTGGGTATATCACACACCCACAGACTGGCCATCAGGGATGGAGGTTTATTTCATTAAAAAACAAAACAGAACAGATTCGTCCCCCAAAGAACACCGAATCCTTTAAAGCAGCAGCAATCACAAGGCACATATGTACGAAATACCTCAAGCAAAATAGAAACTGAACATTAAAAAAATAGGTGTTATTTAAAAAGACAGTGAAGACCATTTGTTAATATGAACATATATTATAAAAAGGACGTTATTTCTCGTTCCCTTCCCCTCCGTGAAAGGGACGGGGGCAGGATGTAGGGGCGACTGCGGCACACGCCACAGACCCCGACGGCATTGCTTGACTTGCTCATGAGACAGGTAACGGAGGGCTTAAAAATGTTGTCAGTGCTTTCACATTGCTTTTAGATATGTGGATCGATAAACTGAAAAAAGAAACTATCCCCTCAGCTTAGAAAAAGCCTGCAGTTATACCTCCCAAGGCAAGCCCACCATACAAAAAAGGAACATCTTTGAGATGGTCTAAATACAAAGGACATAATTTGTATTTTTAGGATCAACACAGTACGCCTCTTCCGAAGACAGATTCGAAGTCAACAGACAATAAATGTAAAATTCAATTGCATTAAAATAAAATAGTATCTGATTTAAATTACTGCTCATTTCGGAACTACAACAGGTATTTTCTGGGTAGGGATGCTCTGGTTAGAAGTGGTGTTTAATGTTTAGTAAATATAAAAATTCTAGGATCCAAATATATTATAATGGAAAGTTTACAACAGCTACACAAGCGTTCCTTTAGCCACCATTTAGCTTTCCCCCGACGAAGACGGGAAACGTGGGGCTGAATGAGGCTTCAATCACGTACTTGGTTTCCTCTATGCTGGTGTTCCCTCAGAGCTGCAAAGTCCTGTTCCTACGGGACATTTCGGAGTCAAGGAGTGCGTACAGGATGCGGCCATGAGAAGGGAGAACAGAGAAACTGAAGCTCCGGTTGAAAAGACAACAAAAAGGAATAGAAAATACTAGTATAATAAAACATTTAAATAGCACTATTAAATAGCACAATTTAAACACCAGTTATATACTGTCACTAGTTTTCCTCTTTAAAAAATCTGTTCCCGGGCTTTTAAATGTGTTTTCTTTTAAAAAAGTGTAAGCATCCTTCTCCTGGCCACGCACTTGGTCCGCTCTGCACAGCCAGGTAACAGGTTCGTCACGGTCCCCCAGCCCTCCTCTGGCCACGCCTGGCCAGTGGGGGCCTGAGAAGCTGCGTGTCGTGTGCAGGAGGCCAAGAGGCCCTGGGGCCGGCCTAGAGCAGCACCTCCTGGGCCACAGCCTTGATGGTGGACGCAGCTTTCTCCAGTTCTTCCTCTGTCTGTTCCACAGTGACCACGACCCTGATGCTGAGAAACAACAAGGGACACAGAGACCATGAGTTGGCAGCAAGGGCCGCCCTCTAAGGCTGAACCAATCCCACACCATGGTTTTGTGGGGCTCCCCTGCAACTCAGCCCGCCCACCAGCTTCCCTCTGTCTGCTGCTGCTTCCTTGCTACTGCGGCAGATGTGAGCAGTATGACAGGCAGGGTTGGCCTGCAAGCTAACAGCACGTACCAGCCACCAGCCCAAGCCATCAGAGCATACCCAGTCATGGCATCTTGCCGTGGGACTCTGTAGCCTCGGCAGAGGGCAGAGCTCGCCACTGCACGGTCAAGGTGTGGGTGTTCGTCCCCGTAATTCAGTAAGCAGCTAAACATGTACTGGCTCGACAGACTTCTGCCGCCTTCTCTTGCCTTTGTAAACACCTGCTTCACCCACTGGGCACATATTTACTGACTGCTGAGGGGCTTGAGGCCAGGGCATGGGGTACCACGGGCACAAGGCCAGGATGGCCCTTGTCTTCACGAATCTGCCATCTAACTACCAAGTAGAGGTAGATGACGCACCTGGGCAGGGACAGCGACAGCTCGGGGGTGGAGGGGAGGACGGTCAGGATGCGTTTGAGCTGCTACCAGAGCGAGCACACAGAGCCCTGCTGGTTCCTGCTGGCAGAGTCCCCGGCAAACCTCCGGAGGCACCCGGTCTTCTCCAGGCCCTCTGCAGCATGGGCCCTGGGCTTCCAGGTATGCCAGTGGTCTCTAAGCCCTCGGAAATGGGCTAAGCCACTCACCCAGCTCATCTGCTGGAGGCCGTGGTGCCCGCCAGGCACCCGACAGTCACTTACTGGTTTCTCCAGGCTGGGCTTATGTGCCACCTGCTCTCAAAGGCCTGAGCTTGTCCCAGGGCAGAGGTGACGTGCCCCGTCCACGATCCCTGGCCTGCGCCAGCAGGACAGAGCTGGGTCTCCTTCAGCAGCCTCCACCTGTGCTGTGGCTTCTGACTCTGGGTACACCCTGCCTGGCCTGGCTTCCTAGGTGTCGGCTGAGTGTCTGCTCTGGCCGGAAGGGTGGCCGACCACCATCCAGACCGCCATCCCTCCCGGCAAGGGCATCCCCATGGCAGAAGCTGTGGGCGCAGCTTGGGCACACAGTAGATACCAGATGACCAGACCCTGTCTGCTCCTAGGGTCCCAGACACTTCGTGGCGAGTGGGAGGCCACACAGTGAGTCTGAGGGGGTTTCCGGGGAAATCAGCACACACCCCGCTCAGGAACAGAAAGAAGGCCAGGCCCTGTATGTGAGCATGGATGCTCCACCTCGTCCTACCTATGTTAGCCTTCCAGTTCTGACCACATCCCACAGAGGCAAAGAAGGGAGACCCATAGGGCCGTCCTTCCCTGGGAACCGACCTGGGAGGGGGGAGCCACTTCTCTTCTTTGTCCAGATAGCGTGCCTGCGTCAGCGCAATGCCTCTGCTCATGCACTGCAGGGAGGAGAGGAGATGAGACCGCCAGGCTTTAGATACCCCGGGACCCAACGGCATGACCCCCTGGAGCCCCAACAAAAGTTTAAATTTACGTCTCCAAGTGACACCTGAGCATGGAACTCACTGCAGCAATGGACCATCCCTTCTGCTGTGGCGGGTAGTTGTCATGAGCCCCTGGGATCATGGAGCACCAGGAGATGTAGCCAGGGCCACTCAGACCACATTTTTTTTTTCTTTTTTTTTAAGAGAGATTTTTGCTATAGGGCACATGCACTTGCCCAAGAGACAGAGAAACAGAAAGTGAGAAATTACACCACCAGGGGGAACGGCCATGACGTGATCCCTTCTCCAGCCTCCTCTCGGGATTTTGGGTGTGTGTGCATGTGTGCCCAGTGTGAGTTTGAGGCTGCTGGGCCTGGACCTGAACTGCAGCTGACCACGTGGGAGTCCAGAGACATAGCCATCACACCATCCACGTTACATGGTTTGAGCACTGTAGGATAGAGGATGGCTGGAGCTGGAAGTCCTGCAGCCAGAGGTGGCCTTCACGCCAACAGTCATGGCATGGAGAGGGTATACGGGAGGTGGCAGCCATCATCATGACCCCAACACGCATGTCAGCCCCAGGCAGAGCAGGAGTCCCTGCAAGGAACCACCAGCAGCACGAACCCCATTTCCTTCTCAGATACATACGAGGTTTATGTCAGATTCAACCAACTGGTGGCACAGTGGTAATGGGGAACAGGTCCTGGGTTTGGCACCGGGGACCTCCCTGAACACACCAGGGAGGGTGGGGGCCTGTGATCGGGACCAGCCTAGCCTGGGAAGGGCTGCAGCACGGGGGCCCTTTTGTCCTCCTCATGGAAGACATAAAAGGCAGTGTCCCAGAGCGTGCTGGGGCTTTGCAAGGAGCAGGAGACGCAGCCTGAGGACAGTGAGGAGGGCAGACCTGGTAGGGACAGCTGTCCTGAGGAGGGAAGAGCGAGGGCTTTCCAGGACATGCTTCTCAGTGCCCCAGTAGGAGCCAGTAGGAAGTCGAGGGGCAGAGGGTAAAGCGAGTCCAGTGACTCACTCCGCAGCCAGGCAGAAGTGGTCGTGGTCGTCCACCTCCCTTTTTGACTACTAACGCATGAACATCAGGGCCACGGTCACCGGACGGACTCTGAGCCACAGCTGGGGGAGTGATTCCAGCACACCACGCCTCCCCGATTGCACTCACCACAACCTGGCTTTGTGAGTGCTGGGTGCAGCAGCTTCGGGGGAGCTGAAACGACTGTCCCGTGAGGCCTGCGGCCTTCCCGCTCTGGTAAGCTGCATATGCAGCCAGGCAGGGCCAAACTCGGGGAAGACAGTGCATGAGGGCAGCTCCAGGTCAGGCTGGGCCAGCATATTCCCCTCTCTCTCTTTCTCTTTTTTTTTTTTTAAAGTTTTTGCCTTAGGACATGCGTGCTCACCAGAGAGGGAAAATGAGAAAGCACCCCACTGGAGGATGGCCATGCTGCAATCCTATCTCCTCTCAGGATTTTGAGCACGCACGCACACGCGTCCAGTGTGTTTTTCGAGATTCTGGGTCTGGGACTTGAGCTGTGGTCAACTATATGGGAATCTGGCACTTTAACCACCATGCCTGCCACCTGTAGGCCCCCAAGAAATCTTTCTTAAAAATGATGGGGAAACCGTGCCTGGGATGAGGGTAGAGGTGATGTGGGTAACTGGACACTTACTAGATTTACAATCTTCTGAAGCAGGTTCACATCTTTCTCCCGAGACCCAGTGCTCTCTTCCAGCTGCAGGTGGAATGCCGGAGAAAGGGACTCTCCTACCACCTTTAATCCAGAGATGCTGAGGACAGGAAACAGACACAGCCATAAATCCCTCCCTCTTGGGCTCAGGACCTCACACAGAGGAATCTGACGAGGATAATGTCAGGGCCCACTGAAAGGAACAGAAACACAGGTCCATGGCAGGGCACACCAGGCAGCGACACTCCAGTTCTGACAGAGGCAGGCCGACTCGTGCTCGGGGTAGCTTCCTCGTCTCAGAGAAGGCATTTCTGTGGGCATGGGGCCGAGGATGTCCTGCTCTGGGAGGCCTGCCCTGTCCTGTCCAGGCTCCCACCCTTCCCTTTGCCAGTGCTTCCCAAGCCAGGTCCCAGTCCCCGTGTCCCCCACGGCCCACTTGCGGGGAGGCTGGCCTGCTCCATCATTGCTATTGGATCTGCGGGATACCTCCGTGGATGACTTGCTACCATGTACAGCGTCAGGTTTCCTAGTTTATTATCTAAGGCTTTAGCTTGAAATTTTATCTCTGGTAAATTATAAGGAAAATTTCTGATAGTAAAAGCACTTCTGCAGCTTCTCGGGGAGGATGACAGACTTCTACAGGGTGAAATCTTAAATCTTCAAGTGACTACAAGGCCACCATGAGGACCCAGCCAGGCTGCTGCCCCTGCAGTGAGGCCCATGGTCTGCCGTTGGCCCACCTCCTGGGCACGGTGCCGTGAGGCACATCCACCTGACACTGAGTTACGCAGTGCAGGGATCTCCGCTCAGCTCGCTACAACTGCAGAGCCAGATGAGCACTGGCTGATGGGGCTGCAGGCCCTCTTGCCTGGGCGCTGCTGGCTACCCCCTTCTCTAACTGCGATGCTGGACCCTCTCCAACAACAGGCTGCAGTTCTGTATCTTAGGCCTTAGAATCCAGAGCATCTGGCCCGTGGGGGAACCTACTAATAAGTGACTCGCCTAGACACTAAGCAATCTGCTTTCAAAACCATTTCCTTTGTGAATTTCAGATGTAGTAACCTTGTCCACTAAGAAGTACCATCATGGTTTATTATTTTTCTTAAAGACAGATTTTTTTTGGGGGGGGGGAGAGGTTTTCGCTATAGGGCGCGTGTGCTCGCCAGACAGACAGAGAGAGACAAAGAGACAGGAAGCGAGAAATCACCCCCCAGGGGGGATGGTCACGCTGCAATCCCTTCTCCTCCATTCTCCTCTCAGGATCTTGGGCATGCACGCACACGCATCCGGCCTGAGTTTTAAGCCACCGGGTCTAGGACGCAAACCGCAGTCGACTACGTGGGAGTCCAGCGACATAGCCATTACGCTAACTGCTGGTTCCCAAAGACAGATTTTTACTACAGGGCACTGTGTTCACTAGAGCCACAGAGAGACAGAGACAGAAAGCAAGAAATTACTCCCCCAGAGGGATGGCCACACCACAATCCCTTCTCCATTCTCCTCTTGGGATTTTGGGCCTGCATGCACATGGGCCTGGCATGAGTTTCATGCCTTTGTGTCTGGGACTCAAACCACAGCTGGCCACATGGGAATCCAGCACCCCAACCACTATGACTCCTGCCGGCCCTGAAGCATCATTATTTTTAAGTCACATACTGTCAGGGGAGAACCTTTTTTTATTTTTTAAATTTATTTGTTATTTTTTAAACGTGGTACAGGGCACATACACTCACCGGAGAAGGATGAGAGAGCAGGGACGAGGGGAGTGAGAGAGCAAGCTGCCAGGTAGAGGGCTCAGACTGTGGGAGGCCATGTGGGAGGTCAGCAGTTTAACCACCATGCTACCTGGTGGCCCTGAGTGGAGAACTTAAAAAACTGCTTTTCAAACAGTATTTCCCGTGACTCGAATGGGCTGGATTTCCTTCATTCGATACCAGGCACCTGAGGCCCCAACCTAGCTTGTGCTTTGATCAGTGGGCTCACCTCACAGTGAGGCAAAACGCCCTAATCTGGCTCCCTGGAGTGGGTGTCCAATGGCTCCCACTCGAACCACATGGACTCAGAGTGTGGCCTGGGGTTAGTAGGCAAAAGGTGTGTTACAGTGAAGGAGTGCCTTGGCCAACATGTCCTCTCACCAGACGGGTAAACACCGAGCAGTGATGAGGACAGAGACAGAGCCGGACGCCAGTCACTGTCACTGTCACCCTCTGAGGGACCCAAGAGGTTGCCACGCAGAAGCGAATTTGGCAAGAGGCTGCCTTCCTTGCTCCAGACTCAACCTGAATCGCTGACTAGAGGAAATTAAAAAATTACCTAAAACTACACATGGAAGATGCTGCCTCTGAAAATGTTCATTTTTGATGTATTTATGGAAAATAATAAAACCATTATTTTTTTTGGAGATTTTTGCTATAGGTTGCGTGTGCTCACTGGAGAGACAGCGAGAAAGCACCCTTCAGGGTGCACAGCCATGCCACAATCCCTTCTCCTTCTTTCTTTTCTTGCATCCAGCATGAGTTTTAATCCACCAGGTCCGGGGCTCGAACTGTGGTCGACTATGTGGGAGTCCAGCAACGTAACCATTACTCCATCTGCTGGTCCCTAAAACCATTATTATTATTAACCATCTAGCCAACTATTATAATTTCTTATCAGATAAAAACAAAGAAAATGACAGAGCTCAAAGTAAGGAGCTGAACCAGAGTAGGAACACAATGTGATAAGAATATATAAAAATAAGGAAGAAATCAACTAAAGAAAACAGGCTTTGATAAAAGCGCACAAACCAAACTCATAAAAGACAATGTGCTAGGGAAAATCTGAAAAAGGTTATCATAGAAATGGAGGGACAAGCAGTTGGTGTAATGGCTATGTTGCTGGACTCCCACATAGTCGACCACGGTTTGAGTCCTAGATTCGGTGGCTTAAACTCACGCTGGGCGCGTGTACGTGCGTGCCCAAGATCCCGAGAGGAGAATGGAGAAGGGATTGTAGCGTGGCCATTCCCCCTGGGGGGTGATTTCTCGCTTTCTGTCTCTCTGCCTCTCTCTGTCTGGCGAGCGCACACAGCCTATAGCAAAAACCTCTCCAAAAAAAAAGATAAAAAAAGATGATCATAGAAATGGAAAGACAGAAACAGAGAATAAAAAGGATAGGTGATACAGACATAGGAGAGAAAACCACAGATGATGGTCAACCTAAAGCCCCCAGTCAGGGGCTCATAGGAGGCCCCCACCCTACTTTGAATACACAATCAGGCATGTCTTACTTGGTGGCTCCACAAATGAAAACCAGTGGACAATGGCCAAACGGCCAGACCACTCACTGAAGCTACCATAGCGTGGATCCCTATGTTAAACAGGCACAGTGAGATTCCGGGTCCATTTAAATGACAGATGTAGATACATATTCAAGTCCAGGCTGTGATGGCATGAGGCTTGGGCCACACGGAGGCCTGGGGAATCTCAGCACAACAGGCACGGTAGCACATACCTGTCACCCGTCACCCTAGCTAACTGGAAGGCTGGGACAGAAGATGGTGACAGCAAGACCCCATCGAAAATACTGCATTCTCTCTTAATCGAAAATACTGCATTCTCTCTGTCCCTCTGCTTATTCTTTTTCCTTCTCTCATAATAAGAAAAAAAATTAAACATTAGCTAAATAAATCTAGAAGTATAGAAAAATGTATTGTAGGGAACCAGCAGTTAGCGTAATGGCTATGTCGCTGGACTCCCACGTAGTCGACCGCAGTTCGTGTCCCGGACCCGGTGGCTTAAAACTCACGCCGGGCGCGTGTGCATGCGTGCCCAAGATCCCGAGAGGAGAATGGAGGAGAAGGGATTGCGGCGTGACCATCCCCCCTGGGGGGTGATTTCTCGCTTTCTGTCTCTATGTCTCTCTCTGTCTGTCTGGCGAGCGCACGCGCCCTACAGTGAAAATCTCTCAAAAAAAAAAAAAAAGAAAAAAGAAAAATATATTGTAATTAAGTAAGAGTTTTCTCAGGAATGCAAGGGTGGTTTAACACAGATGATGTACCAATGTGATTCAGTCACAAGACACACCTACATTTTATCTCAATGGTATGAATATATTTTGATGAAGTTCAACATTTATTTATGATTGGAAAAAAAAAAAACCTCCAAATCTAGGAATAATTCGATAAAGGCCACCCAGCAAAAACTTACTGTATAACATTCTACACTTAATAGAGAAATGCATTTCTATACAAGGGAAAAAGAAGGCTCTCTGCTATTACTGCCACTATTCAGTACAGTATTAGAGACCCAGAACAATGCAGTAAGGGAAAAGAACTAAGCGCCTAAGAACTGGGAAGGAAAGAGAGAAAGCCACTTCTGCAAATCCTACGACTTTTACATATGTCAATGTAATAGTATAGAACAAGCCACTGGCATTAATAAGAGCTTAGGAAGACTGCTGGATATAAGATCAGTTTAGAGAAAACAATATTCTTACAAATCACAATCATCAAGAACAAAATTTAGAGGAAATAACCTCACTCATAATAGCGACAAAATCTTTGGTACATGTAGAGGTTCCCTGTAAAGGTCCTATAAAGGCACAGGGCTTTATCATTATTTTAATTTGACCAGAGAGAAAGAAAGAGAGAAAGGAAGTGAGAAAGCAAGCTACCAGGTCGGGGACATGAACTATGGTTGACCAAATGGGACTCCGGTGCCTTAGCCACCATGCCACCTGCTGGTCCCCAAGGTACAGGGTTTTATGGAGAAAAAAAATTTAATTCCATTCAAGGAAACAAGACTCAAATTAGTAGATCATGTTCACAAACAGTAATTTTTTCTATTTCTTAAAAAAAATATTTTATTTTATTCCATTTGTTAGTATTATTTTTCATTTGACCAGAGAGAGAGAGAGAGAGAGAGAAAGAGAAAGAGAGAAAGTAAGCCAACAGTTCTGGGACTCGAACCACAATTGGCCATGTGGGAATCCAGCGCCTTTATCCACCATGCCACCTGCTGGCCCCAATTTCCTCCATTTTTAACTATAAAATTCAATGCAACTCCATTGAGAAATCTCACAATAATTTTAGAAGAACTTATATGAAGTGAGAAAGACCAACATAGTCACAACAGAGTCTGAAAATTGAGCAATATATTAATAAAATGAAAGGAAGAGTTCAAAAACAGATTCAGGTAAAAACGGAGACTGGCACGTGACAGCACCCCGACCAGCAGAAGAAAGGGTGTGTTACTGGAAACTGTGCAGACACTGGCCTCACTCTTTCATTTAAAATTTGCTACAGGTGCATGTGCTCACCGGAGACAGAGAGAGTTGGTGGGGAGTGAGAAAGGCCCCCTAAGGAGGGATGGCCATGCTGCAATCTCCCGTCTCCTGAGCCAAAGCTCCTGTCGTTCCTATGGCCCTGCAGTCTGGCTCTCCCCTTCCACTAGGTTCCCAACTCCTCCCCTCCTGTCATGCTGCTCTCCTTGGGGACCTTGCTAACTGTCCAGGTACCTGCATGATTTGCTCCCACATCCTGGTGTGTGTTTGGCAGGAGGTGCCTTGGGAGCCCTCCAAGTGAATATACGAGCAGGCAACCAGCATGAGCCCTGGAACCCTGAGGAGTGGTACATGGCGGAGATACAAACTTGTGACTTGTCCACAACAGGTGTCCCGAGATGGTCTGAAGCTTCAGGGATGCAAGAAGGCAATTCTTCAAGAAGCTAATAAGAAGAAAAGAATCAAAGACTAAGCCCCAGAGAGAAGGGTCTTCAAAGAGGGCCATCAGCGGAGACCAAAAGGAAACAATTTAAGGCACAGAATGACAATCAGAAGGATAGCAGAACCCAAAGGATAGTGCTGACCTGACCCATAATTAAGACGAACTTAGGACCAGCAGTTGGTGTAATGGCTACATCGCTGGAATCCCATGTAGTCGACTGTGGTTCGAGTCCTGGACCTGGTAGCTTACTCATGCTAGGTGTGTGTGTGTGCATGCCCAAGATCCTGAGAGAATGGAGAAGGGATTGTGGCATGGCCACCCCCTGGCGGGGTGATTTCTCACTTTCTGTCTCTCTGTCTTTCTGGCAAGCGCATGTGCCCTACAGCTAAAATCGGTCCAAAAAAAAAAAAAGACAAGCTCTGCAGGGACCAGCACCACAGCGGTCCCTGGGGAGCTCCACGTTGCACTGAAGTCCAAGAGTGAGGCCAGACCTTGGAAGTTTCTACCGCAATGAGAGAAGAGGATGTGAAGAAAGAACAGGCCACTCAGGAGATCAGCTACTCAGAGAAGCAAAGGGTAGGTTCCGGGGGAATGAATGTACGGTCATGGCAGGAGGAATTTAAAGACAGGAGGGGACAGAGAAAACTTGAAATGCTACTGAATGGCTCAGGAGAGAGACTGGCAATAAAGCTGAGGGTCACCAAAGGCGCTTAACCCTTGAGAAAAAAGAAAGGCTGTGAGAACTGGAATTACCTTCTGGCTCCACAGGAGAGCACTGGTTCAGACACTCAAAGGTATATTTTTTTGCTAGGGAAAATGAGGGAGTTTCAGAGTGGCGGCACCGGGCGAGGTTGTCGGCTGAAAGTGGGTGAAGACAGAGCGTTGGAGATTTTGGCAAGAAAAGATGTAAAGGAGCCAGGGAATATGGAGGATTGGACTTGGAAGAAATGTGCTACACTCCAGACAGTGAGAATGGCACCCAAGGTTGGTGGTGGAGAATTCAATGGCCCCATGTACTGGGCTGGGCCACAACTCACAGACCAGTGGAGCTGGAGCCAGTACATCTCCGTACCACCAACTGGGCAACGAGTCCCAGAGTCCCAGCTGTCTGTGCAGAGCTTTGCCTCGGCCTGCCTTCATCCGGAACAGCTGTGATCTACTCATCAAACTGCTGTCCTGTCCTTTTAGCAGTCTCTGGTTTCCATAATCTGGCAAGAGAAGGACTTCGACTACCAAGAAAGCACATTCCACCTTAGCAAAGGACAAAAGAAACACCTTGGGCAATGTGAGGTCATTTTCAAGACCAGAAATCTGCATACAGACGTCAGCAAGCTCTCTTTCTTTCTTAACTTCAGTGAAATCCTGAAGTACTCTTGTGTAGTTAAAAGAGAAAAAAAGAAAAAAGATAGAAGCATACAATTCACTTAATTTCACCAGTTTCCTTTCCTTGTCTTAATTTTAAAATAAAACTTTTAGTTTTTTTAATTTTAAATAATTATTTTGATCTTATTTATTCATTCACTTATTTTAATTTGACCAGAGAGAGACAGAGACACAGAGAGAGAGAGAAAGTCAGCAGGTCCGGGACTCAAACTGTGGTCAGGCATGTGGGAGTGTCCAGCATCCTAACCACCACTCCACCTGCTGGTCCAAACTCAGTCATTTTCTAAAAGTAACATGGAGAGTACGGTTGGCCCCCATGGGATCTAATCACAGACCACAACCACAGTCATCTATCCGTACCAGCGAGGAGAGGTGCTCCGCGGATTACTCTAGTTTCTGGTGGTAAGATGGTGGAATGTTAGTTTCATCTTCTCATTTCCTGAGCTTCTATATCTCATTAGTGGCTTTGTTTCATTGTAGAACAACAAAGTTGTGATTCTATACAACAGCGACACAATGAATAAAGCATTCCCCCCATGTGAGAAGGACCTACATTTTTAGGGTTGTTAGTTGCAGATTGGTCAAACTGACCCCAGCCTATCAAATTTTTTTAAAAGAGTTATTTATTTAGTTTTATTTATTTATTCATTTATTTTATTTTAATTTGACCAGAGTGAGACAGACAGACGCGCGTGCACACACACACACACACACACACACACACACACACACACAAAGTGAGAAAGCAAGCCACCAGGTCTGGGACTTCAACTGTGGTTGGCTATGTGGGAGTGTCCAGAGCCTTAACCACCACTTAACCACCACGCCACCTGCTGGTCCCCAAGCCTATCAAAATTTAAACTGTCAGTTAAGTATGGCAGATACACTTATATTGGTTGAAAATATATAAAACTTACCCTTGTAAGGCTTTATGAATTTGTCTGCACTTTTCCTTTAACTCTGCAAAAATACCTAAGTGGAAAAATACATGTGACAGTACGTTAGGAATACCTGACAAGTGCTGACCTAGTGTATTTGAAGGACCCAGGAGAAGATCCTCAGTCTATAACCTGTTAGCCCTCCCAGCACTCAGAGCAGGAGCTGGTGCTCCTGGGAGGCCTGGCTTCCTCTCTGGTATGAAGTGACCACTTCTCACCGCCCCACCCCATTTTCGGCAAAAGCTGGGATGATGAGCTCAGAGCCAAATAATATTTTTGTTCTTACCAAGATTCTATAGACACTCTGGTTAAGAATAAAAGGGCGCATTTAGTATTTATTTCTTGACCCTTAAAAATCTGGTGAAGAACTGTAGTAATTTTTATAATCTTTTCTTGATACTTTCTTTTTATTCAAGAAAAATTCAAAAATGGAAAATGTCTGACCAGGAGGTGGGACTGTAGCCCGTCTGACAAGTGGCAGAATGTACACACATGCTTTCTGCTTCTCTGAATGTCAGTGTGGGACTCAGAAATACTACATAAGGCCTCTTCTCCCTTCCCTCCCTTCCTGTTAAAAGCTTTGGTAAGGTACTGGTATTCCAGCCACAGCCGAATGTTAAATTCTCAGCACTTTTTATTTGGTCAACTAAGTAAGTTCTCTGATGGAAAACCAGGTCTGGGCTCAGTGTGAAAGGCTGAAGGGAACAACTAGCAACACTTATAAATGTACAGACCAAAAGGCAGCAAGCTTCAGCAGATATCTCAGAAGTGTAGGCCAGCTGACGACTGGCGTGTTACATAATGGAAATATCAGGCCAGAACTGACCTCCCCCAGTGCTTCTCCACCCAGGCCCAGAACTGCCTTGGGTCCCTCCTACCCCCAAGACGTCTCTCCACCCATCTGGCCCAGAACTAACCTGGCCTGTCTGCCTACATCTCCACCCACAAGGGAGCCAACTATGCTTGGTTCCAGGTCCAAGCTGGGGGGCTGGGTGGAGAAGCAGAGTCAAGTCCTTGAGGGAGGACAGCTTCTTCACTGCCGTTCTTCCCATAAATGCCAGATAATATAATTCACAGTAAAAGTTTTGTCTGGTAAATAATTTCCTCTAGGTAATTCTAACAGGAAGCAAACTAGTAACATAGTTAACACAATCTGAGGCCTCTTTGACTTCCTGGGTTTAAGAGGTCGCGCCTGGGACAAAGGGTCAGGCAATGGCAAGGCTAGACCCCAGGGTAGAGGCCTCAGGTCCATATCCCAGACCTCCCTGGGCATGCAGTTCAGCTGGGACTAGGGGTGGACAGCAGGGCGTGGGTGGGGGAATAAAAAGATAAACTTAAAAAACAAAGAGGTTATACCTGGATTCTCTTCCATGATGTTGAGGCCCTCAATCGCAGCAGCAGCGAGAAGAGGTGGCAAGGAGGCTGAGAAGCAGTACCCCTGGCCAGAGAGCCGCTGAGAAGAAACAAGTGAGTCAGAACACACAGGCACTCTCTGCCTTTTCTGGGTGAACACGCAAAAGGCACTGATTCTCACGGGTAAGAGCCAGCCATCAGTAACGTTAGTCACGCAACAGAAAGATGACTTTTGTTAAAGGTGAGACACCCTGTAACAATAAGTATTTTAGGTGATTTTAGATAGAAACTAAGAGGAAGCCTGTATATTTCAAAGTCCCACTGTGAGGTGGCCAATGAGGCAATCCGTTTGTGATTCTGCCTTTAGAAGCACCTACCTGATGGTCAATTACGAAAGACCTGCCGCAGCAGAAGCCACCAATGGAAGCCAGTGAGTTCTCCATGTTGGCACTGATGAGGTCGATGTCATCGATCTACCAAAACAGGGGCAGCAGGCGTTAGTCCTCATTTACAGGGAAAAATAAAACCACGACCAAGCCTGAAGACAAAATTTCACATTAGTCCCATCTGTTAACATCTGGATTCAAACTAGCTACTGAAGCGGGACAAAGCACACGACATCTGCTGCTAACAGGACTGCAGTTCCACGGCCCACCCTGAAAGAGGCTCGCTTCAGGCTTGTTGCCATTTCAGTACACAGCAAGTGGGCGAAAAAGGAGATGACCCAAAGCTGTTTGGTGTTCAAAATAGTCAGAAGTATAAACTAAGATTATTTTGTGGCTAAAACAATGGTTCTAGAGCCTCCCCCAAAGAGGCACTTGAGATAAGTGACAATCTACCGAAGTTTGAAAACTTTATTCCTATGTTCAATTTACTTTTCATTATTTCAGAAATGAAATGAGCCTATCCCAACATCATGGCAACAGAGCCCTGGCAGACATGGGCCAGCTGGTCAGTGGAGGAACCCGATGGGCCGGTGAGCTTCTGCGTTCCTGGCTCCCAGCTCCTCCTCCTCTGTCATGGTGCCCCCGGCCCAGAGTTCCACTCTGGGCTCGTGGTCAGCATTCTATAATTACTTACGGATGGCCATGCTTACTAGATCGCTTGTGGTATTTTTCTAAGTGCTCTAGAGATCCAACAGAGAAGCCTCTGCAGTCTTGCTCTTTAAGAAAAAATCCCTTTAGCCTTTTATTATGAAAAATTGTCCTTCATATACAGAAGGAAAGAGAACAGAATAAAGAATCCCCATTATCTAGATTCAATCCTGTCACCCCCAAGGAAAACAATGTATAATCTATGGCCCACCTGTCCTTGTCATTTCTTTCTTTCTTTCTCTCTCTCTCTCTCTTTTTTTTTTTTAAAAAGATTTTTGCCATAGGGTATGTGCACTTACCAGAGAGACAGAGAGGAAATGAGAAAGCAACCCTGGGGGGATTGTCACACTGCAATCCCTTCTCTACTCTCCTCTCAGGATCTTGAGTGTGCACGCACACATGCCTGAATTTCAAGCTGCCGGGTTTGGGACTTGAACTGCAGTTGGCCATGTGGGAGTCCAGAGCCTTAACCAATATGCCACTTTCTGGCCCCTATTCTTATCATTTCTTTACAACAAATCTGACTTCACAGGGTTCATCTAGAGAGATTTCAGAGTGTATTTTTAAAAGGTGAGTCCTCCTAAAAAATGTAATCACAAAATTATTAGCATGCCCAAAGAAATAACAGGTAAGTGCAGGTGTGTGCACACACGTGTTCTTTAATTTCCAGGGAAAAAGGAAGGAAGAGGAAAGAAATAGAAAAGGAAGAGAAAGAGAGTACTACCTAATGGGGCAACTCTCATTTCTTCATTCCATCAGGATTTGGGGCATGCATGCAAATGTACCTGGTGTTTTTCAAGTTGCCAGAGCTGGAATATGAACTGTGGGTGATCGTGTGGGATTTATCAATAGTTCCCTATGCATGGTGCTTGACTGCTGTGCTAGGGGCCGGCGCTCCACGTCTCTTAGATTCCTAGGTGCACTGAACTGCCGACATCAGAGTGTGTCTCCATCTGACCTCACGTGGTACTCCCTCTACTCCGTGCTGCTTCCCTAGTTCTGTACAGGTTGAGGACGCAGACGACCTAAGGTGATTTTGTACTCTGTGTAAAACTTGTAACACAGGTTGCAAGGCTTTTGGCACACATTTTGGAGAAAAACTTCCTGTAACCCTACCCTCTCATAGTGGTAAAGGCCAGCACAAGCCTGACCCGCTTCTCTCTGTCCTGTAGTCCCAGAAGCCCAACCTCTAAGCACTGTGAGTGTCTGGCCCACTGCCTTCAACAGAAGGAAATGGAGCAGGCTTGCTTCAGCTGTGTGAACTTGCAGGGCTTTGCTGAATCCATGCCAGCGGTGTTTCTGACATAGATCTTAATGATTTTAAGAGTTAAATGGAAGAAAAATTTGACTCTAGGTAAGAATCACTAAAAGCCAGGATCAAATGCTACCATGTAACCAGAACAGATTTCATGACTCCCACTTTTGAGTTTATGGGTTCAGAGAAAAGCGGGGCTCTGGTCTGGCTCACCAGAGGCACCCTGGGCTCAGCAAGGATTTGCAGCCCTCCTAATCAGTGAGGAGCACAGTCTTGTGCCACCTCGCAGCATGGAGCTCTGTCTCCTCTACAAGGAGAATGTTCTGCCAGAGGAGAACTTACATTGATCCCATAGTGCTCAGTGAGGCCTCGGCCGTGCTTCCCGAGAACTCCAAACGACAGGCTTTCTTCCAGGAAGATCCTTGCTTTGTACTTGTACTTTAACTTCACCTGGGTGTTACACAAAACACGACTTTAAAATACTGATGGTCAGCATCATATACAATATACTGCGAGGAAAAAAATACAATTGAATTCAAAAGGTAAGTACTATTAGCCCTCAATATTCACTCACTGTGCAAGTACAGATCCATCTACTTGTTGAAAATTATTTGCAACCCAAAATCAACACTTGGGGCATTTTCTAGGTCATCCATAGTCAAGTAGCTGTGCGGGTGGAGAACTGGAGCCATCTGACATACGTGTTCCCTGCAGGCAGCTCTTTCTGCTCAGATACTGTAAACAATGACCTATGTCTACTGGTACGTTTGTCATCACATTTTTTTGCTTTTGTGGTGATTTTGTTTAAAATGCCCCCAACTGAAGCGCTGCTTAGAGTTGTCACGTGTCAGAAGGTGGTCATGTGACTTTAGGGGAGAACACGTGTGTCGGGGAAGTGTGGTTCAGGCAGGCATCACAGTACTGCTCAGCTAGAGTGCCACAGTGGAGTTGGCCCTGGACACAGAGACACACACCAGACACCGTGCGGCCCACCTGAAAACACTGCCACCAGGGAACCTGCCTCTGCTCTGCTAGCAATAGTTAGGCTCTCCATTTCAGTGCCCACACAATTTGCAGATCTCACTGTGAGGATAAATGACTGTACTCTGTCTCTCTGGCGAGCACACATACTCTGTGACAAAGATCTCTCCCCATTAAAAAAAAATTACGGGCTACTCTTGCTAATCAGTGTGGGTGACTTCCCACGAGGCTTTTGTCTGGATTTCCACTAACAATGAATGAATGAATCTGGGAAGGATTATATCTTTCAATGTCCTTTTTCATCCTTCAACATTTTCTCTCTGTTTTTCTCTGTCTCTCCAGTTAAGTATTGAAGTATTTAACTTCTAAAAATGTTTTAGAAAAGGTTTAGTAACAACATAACAGTACCAGCACATTAACAAACAAATCAGTGAGAAAACAGCGATCGGAGAGTCAAACCCCAGTCTGCATCATGCACCTGGGGCATCCCACTGCTCGTGCACACGCGTGTCTCCACACTCGGTACTCGCTGTGCTGCCACCGAGTTGCTGGGTTGTGTGGCCCTGTGAGAGCCCTGGCATCTTCAGTCTTCTGTCCCCCACATTACTCCCAGTCTTTCACATGCTTACAAACGACAGGGCAAGAAAACAGATACGTTCCTTTTGTGCTAAGTAGGATATATTTCCTTACAAATAGTGACCTTGAAAAATAATATATGAAACCTTTTACTTTAAATTCAGATGTAAGAATGGTTCAACATTGACAAATAGTTGACAGAATACACCATATTAATTGAATGAAAGAAAAATACCCCAAAAGAAAAAATATCACATTAATTGAATGAAAGGAAAAACTCAAATGATCATCTCAAGTGCTACAGAAAAAGAACTGGACAAAATCCAATAGCCTCTCATGATAAAAACCCTAAACAAATTAGAAACAGAAAGGAATTCCCTCAACCTGATAAAGGGTACTTATAAGAGATTCACAGCTAACATTATACTTCAATAGTGAAAGACATAAGAGTTTTCCCTCTAATATCAAGAACAAGACAGAGATACCTACTCTCACCACTTGTAGCCAACACCGTTGTACAAACTCTAGCCAAGTAACTAGGCAAGAAAAAAGGTATCCAAATTAGAAAGGAAGAAGTAAAACTACTCACAGATGGCATGGTCTTATATATAAAGTAAGACCCACCAAATTACTACCTGAGCTAATAAGTTCAGTAGCAATCACATAAGATCAATATACGAAAACCTGTGTATTTGTACAAATCGTCAGTGAACAATCTAAAAAGGAAATTAGGAAAATAATTCCATTTATAAACAGAATGAAAAATCATCAAATACTAAGTGATAAATTTAACCAAACAGATAAACTTATATACTACGAACTACAAAGTATTGCTGAAAGAAATGGAAACATAGCCCATGTTCAGGGATTAGAAGACTTAACTATCATTAAGATTTTGGGAACCAGCAGTTGGCGTAATGGCTATGTCGCTGGACTCCCACGTAGTCAACTGCGGTTCATGTCCCGGACCTGGTGGCTTAAAACTCACGCCAGGCGTGAGTTCCCGAGAGGAGAACGGAGGAGAGGTGACTGCAGCATGGCCATCCCCCCTGGGGGTTGATTTCTCACTTTCTGTCTCTATGTCTCTGTCTGTCTGGCAAGTGCACGCGCCCTGTAGTGAAAACCTCTCCAAAAAAAAAAAAGATTTTACCTCTCCGGGTTGGCAGGTAGCGTGGTTAAGGCGCTGGAATTCCCACATGGCCAACCATGGTTTGAATTCTGGACCTGGTGGCTTGCTTTCTGATTCTCCCTTTCTCTCTACCTGTCTTTCTCTGGGAAAACTCATTTGAAGAAAATAAACAAACAAACAAATAAATTAAACTCATTTAAAAAAAATCTCAAAGTGACCTACATAGTCAATGTGATTCCTTTCAAACTCCCAACAAATGATGCAGGGACAATTTAGATAACCACACACAAAAGAATGAAGCTGAACCCCTATGCCTCAATTTACACATAAAATTAACTCAAAATTAACCCTAGATCTAATATAAGAGTGAAAATCACAAACTCTTAGAAGTAAACAAAAGAGTAAATCATTATAACCTAGGATTTAGCAAAGATTTTTAGATATGACACAAACACACATGCAAATAGGGTGGACTTTATCAAAATTAAAAATTTTGTGAATCAAAGGACACTATCAAAGAAGTGAAACAAAACCTCACATAATTGGAGGGAATATCTGTAAATAGAACATCTGATAAGATTCCGGTATCTTAAATATAAAGAACATTCATAACTGAACACCGAAGGACAAACCAATTAATTACAAATGGGCAAAGCACTTGAATAAACATTTCTCCAAGATACACAAATGGCCATAAGCACATGGGAAGATGATCAACATCCTTAGTCACATGGGAGATGCAAGTCAAAGCCAATGAAATATCACTTTCACACTCACTAGGACGGCTAAAACAAATGAAAAAACCCTGAGAAAATGTAACAAATGTTGGTGACGATGTGCAGAACCGGATGGGAATGTAAAAAGGTGGAAAACAGTACAGCAGCTCCTCAGTAAATTAAACCTAGAGTTACCCCATAACTGAGCGATTCATGCTTGGGTATAGACATAAAGTAATTCAAACAGGGATTCGAATACATATTTGAACACAAACATTCAAAGCAGCACTATTCATCACAGCAAAAAGGTGAAAAACAACCCACCAAATAAGCCACTGCTGAGTGAACAGATCAACAACATGTGGCATATCCACAGAATGGAATACCACTTAGCATTAAAGGATGAAGGATGAAGCACTGATACACGGTACGATGTGGATGAGCTGTAAAAACATTGTACTGAGTAAGGCCAGATGTAAAAGGTCACATATTATATGATACCATTTATACGAAAGAGCCAGAATTGCTAAGTCCACAGAGAGATTGGCAGTTGCCAGGAGCTAGGGAGAGGGAAAACGGGAAGCGGCGGAGGGAAGGCCTGCTTTCTGGCAAAGGGGTCTACTTTGGAGTGAAGGTTTAGGAACTAGTGCAGGTGTTGGCTGTGCAATATGCTGAATGTACCAAATGCCGCTGACATATACCTCACAACAACTGATGCTGTGGAAAGTGAATCTCACCTCAATGAAGTAAATCCTAGCGGTTATGCTCTCTAAAAATGGCATTGCTTCAGGGAAAACGGCAGTGTTTCAGGACCAGCAGATAGCGTAATGGTTATGTCATTGGACTCCCCACACAGTCAACCGTGGTTCAAGTCCTGAAGTCAGTGGCTTACAATTCACTCTGGGCGCATGTGTGTGCATGCCCAAAATCCTGAGAGGAAAATGGAGAAGGGATTGTGGCATCTCCCTGGGGGGTGATTTCTCGTTTTCTGTCTGTCTGTCTCTGGTGAGCACACATGCCCTACAGGAAAAATCTTAAAAAAATAAAACGACAAAAAAACACCACCAAAAAAGAAAAAAGGCATTGTTTCTACAATAAGAAGCTGAGTTTTACAAAATACGCATCATATGCTTTCATTTACATGAAATTTTACAAAAGGTAAAACTATTCTATGGAAAGAAAAAACAGACTGTCCCAGGCTGTCTGGGACCAGGACTAGGTGCTGACCACAGAGGTATGAGAGAAAAATGCCCTTGTGTCTTGATGCTGGTGGTGAAAATGGGGTTTTACGTCTGTCGAAGCTCATCGCACTGTGCACCTGAGGTAGGTATTCTTGTTAAATGTCATTTTCACTCAATAAAGTTGGTTTTTAAAAGTTAAGTCATGATACTCTTTTAACACCAGCAATGGCATCTGATGTTAATTTACTTCCCTGTTATAATCAAAATGTGCTTACGCTGCCTCAAGAGCAAAGCACTCCGGACATTATCAACAGAAAGTAGTCACAAGCAAAGGCGATCTGCCCAAAAGCCCGACAGCTACAGGGACTGAGCACGGCTGCTGCTTACCAGTTCTGGGAGAGGACAAATAGTACCGGTGTTCATATACAATCCTTCTACTACAATGAAACGCCGCGTTACACGAGCCTTGCGAGGATTCTTTAAAAGAAAAAAGAACAGACATCTTAATGTTAACAACTCTAAATATAAAATCTGTTACACACTCACTAGCACTTTACCTAACGAGATTTATTCATGATAATGAGTCGGAATGCCACAGGTTTGGATTCCCGGGTCAGCCTGAAAATGTGCTGGGAGCCTGCGCACCCACGATCCTGACTACCTGGAGGGCAGGGGAAGGAGATCCCGGCATGGTGAGCCCCGGCTGAGGGTGCTTCTGGTTGCTCCTCCTCTCTTGCATGCACACACATTCTCCACCGTGTTTAAAACAAACACACTTAAATAGTCTGAATGAATTTAAATGCTTTCTTTTCTTAGACACGTTTTTTTCCGTTCATAGCATCAACTAGGGGAGCTCACACACTCACAAACTATTTAGGGACTCTAAAATCAGGCAACGCTCTCAAACCCCGAGTGGCTGGGGGCCTGGGAAGGCTTTCGGGGGAGATGGTGATGAAGCTGAGACCCCTGGGTGACACGGTTTTAAGCCGCTGGTTGAAACTGCAAGGCTAGGATTGTGCGTTTCGATGTCTGTAACGTTTACCTCAGAGAACAATCACTACGATGACCACAACCACTCTCCTTCATCACTGCGGAGGAGGGTGCAGAGCAGGGGAGGCACAGAAGGCAGGACAGCAGCAGGATGCTGACAGCCATGTTTGTGAGGCTCACTACACTGCTTCCTGTGCACGCTGGTACGCTCCAGTAACGAGGACAGATGGACCTGTTCTCCCTCATCTATGAAAAGACAGAAAAAGCCCCTTTCCTTCCTTATTCCTCACTAGCCCATTCAAGGGTCAAGAAAAACTCAACTACGACCTTGTTCAGTGAGGTTCCAAGGTGACGGGGAGGGACCTTTTCCAATAACACACACCTACACCACACCCCATTTACAGCACGTCACTAATGAACTCTCGAATGCAGGAAACTACACAAGCTTGTGGTATGCTGGGCTGAGAAAGGACAGAAACACACAGAAAGAGAGTCTACCACTCATTTCCTACTCAAAGGTTTCTTGCCTCTAAGATTTTTACTCCAATGAAGAGCCAGGAACTCAAATATCAGAACAATGCTTTAAGGGGTATTCAAACATGCTTTAAAGCTCCTTTATTTCTTACATAAGCAAGAGAGACAGAGCGAGAGCAACAGCACTCCAACAAGGGTTCTGACCCAGTGATCCATGCACGGCCTCCAGCCAGGCCTGGCTCATGGGCAGTGCGTGTCCAGTGTATTCACCGAGGTCTCCAGACTTAAACTGGGAACCTTCCCACGTGGGATCAATTCATATTGCTTTGTATTGCACCTGCCTGACTTTTAAGAGGTATTAAGAACCCACAGCTTGGGACCAGCAGTTAGTGTAATGGCTATGTCGCTGGACTCCCACATTGTCTACTGTGGTTTGCGTCCCAGACCCGGTGGCTTAAAACTCACGCCAGGTGTGTGTGTGTGCATGCCCAAGATCCCGAGAGGTGTGAGGAGACGGGATTATGGCGTGACCACCCCCACTGGGGGGTGATTTCTCTTTCTCTCTGTCTGGCAAGTGCATGCGCCCTATAGGAAAAACCTCTCCAAAAAAAGAAAAGAACCCACAGTAAAAAAAAAAAATTGTTCAAATATATGAGAGGGTCTTCATACAGTTAACAGAAAACACATTATTATGAAAAAACTATGCTTTGGGACCAGCAGTTAGCATAATGACTATATCGCTGGACTCCCATGTAGTCGACCGCGGTTCGCATCCCGGACCCGGTGGCTTAAAACTCACGCTGGGCATGTGTGCGTGCGTGCCCAAGATCCCGAGAGGAGAATGGAGGAGAAGAGATTACGGCGTGGCCATCCCTCCTGGGGGATGATTTCTTGCTTTCTGTCTCTCTGTCTCTCTCTGCCTGGCGAGCGCATGCGCCCTATACTGAACCGCCTTTACTCTGTGTCAACTCAAAAACTCAGTGCCACAGAGCTAGTGACATCTGTTGGGAGTCACAACAGAGTGACCACCTTCACCTCAACACATCCTGTCTCTTCCTGCCTCTTAAAAGATTAAGTATTTTTCTTTCTTGTAAAAATTTACTGCCAGAGGAAACATGCACTTGCCAGAGAGATACGAGACAGACAACACAGAGAGACAGAGAGGGAGGGAGCGGGAGAAGGCGAAAGTACCCTGGTGGGGCATGGTCACGCCATAATCCTCCCTCCTCCATCTTGTGGAGATTTGGGGCACAAACACACGTGTGTGGTGTGTTTCTCAAGTCACTGGATGCAGGACTTGAACCACATGGTTGGCCATGTGGGATACAGCTCATTTAACCCCTAGGCCACAGTGCTGTCCCAGTATTTTTCTTATGATTTTTAAAAAATATTCAATACAGGAATCCTGGGAAATGGAAAAGTTAAATATAAATAAATTAAAAAATCAGCTAGTTATAACATATAGTAATAATTTTTGTCTTTTTAGTATTTACATGTGTTTATAGATACCTTGTTCAAACTCAGGATTTTACTTATGTTTTAAGACTTGATTAAAAAAATGTTTTGTAAGCATTTCTACATCATTTGGTATTATTTAAAATAAGATTTTAGTGAAGCGTCTAGCTTGGGGGTATACTATAAATCACTAGTACCTATTTCACTAATGTTGGGTTTAGATAGTTTCCCTCATTTTGCCTTTTTACACATTGTGACTATCTTTCAATCTTTGATACTACTTCTGGCTATTTTCTAAAGATAACACCCCAAATGTTGGTCAAAGGGCATGGATATTTAAAGATCCTTGAATATACCTGCCCATTTGCCGTCTAGAAAGGTGGTGCCAGCAAGCTTTTCCCAGTACTATCAGAGCATCCGTTCTCTCCACACCTGTGGTGGCACCGATCATCACTATGAAAAATAATTTGACAGGCCAGACCTCCTAGCTTAATCTCTTTGCTCATTAGTGAGGCCAGGTTGTATTTCACTTGTTCATAAATATTCCTTCAGCTCATATCCACTGCCCATTCCTGCTTTTGAAAAAAAAAAAAATTATTTTTATTTAACTTTATTTATTTATAACATTTGAACAGAAAGGGAGAGGAGGGGGCGTGAGAAAGCAAGCCAACAGGTCCAGGACTCGAACCGCAGTTGTCTATGTGGGAGTCCAGTGCCCCTTAACTACCACGCTACCTGCTGGGCCCTGCCCATTCCTGTTTAAAGAAGCACTAACATGGGACATACAAACCCTACAGGAAAAGGGAAGAGAAAACATCTCTACGAATAACACTTGGGAAACTGATGAAATTAGTTCGATCCAAACCTGGACTGAATCACATTATTTTAATTCACTTTCGAGGAAAGAGAAGTAATCAAGTAGAAAACACTGAAAAAGTTAGCAGATTATATGAAAATAAAGAGTACTTCTGAAAACCAAAATGCAGGGGGCAACCATGTGGTATAGTGTTAGGTGGAAGCCAGATGCCACATGGCCAACCAGGGTTTGAGTTCTAGCCTGGCTCACTTGAAAAACACGCTGTCACGTGGATGTGTGCCCATGATGGGATGAAGAACCCGATGGACCCTGCTGGGAAGAAGAACTGGGAGGAAAAAGGACTGCAATATAAACAGGCCCTGCTGGGGGTATCCCTTTGGCATGCACCCTTTGGCATAAAGAACCTCCCCAAAATGCAGTGTTACTAAGGAAGTCTATGTGTGGCAAGAAAATGTGGTTTAAATTAACAAGCAAAAAAAGTAAAAATTATAAAGTAGAGATAAATTTCAAAATAATTTCTTGTTATTCATTTTTAAAAGTTCCCCAGAGGGACCAGCAGATGGCGTGGTGATTACATTGCGTGCCTCTCACATGGCCAACCATGTTTGATTCCTGGACCCTGAAAATCACGCTGGGTACAGGTGCAGGTGCCTGTGTGTGCGTGCCGAAAATCCTGGGAGAAGGGACTGCGGTGTGGCCATCCCCCCTAGGGAGTGATTTCTCATTTTTCCTCTCACTGTGACTCTCTCTGGCGAACACGCATGCCCTAAGGCAAAAATTTCTTCAAAACAAAAGTTGTATGGATTATAAAACTCGCAAAACATACACACATAGAAACTTGAGTGTGATGTTCTCCGAATCTGTACAAATAACTTGGCAAAATAAATGACAGCAACCTGGCTCACATGCTCTTCAACCTGCTGGCTACCACCTTACCACCAAATCGGGAAAAGGGACAACTCTTTATAATCTACATAAGGAAACGAATCTGGGGAACATGTGAGTTTGAGATTTCCCCGCAGATTCCGCACTGGGTGAGTGTGAGACAGTGGTGCACAGTAGACGTGGCATACAGCAATGAGTCCAGGGAAAAGGGAGATTAACACAAACTTAAGAAATGTAAAGAGCATTCTTATCAGTTATTTTCACTACAGATGCAGCTAGTTATGAGCAACATCAGGAAGTCCACCACGAAGAGGTGTCTAAGACATGATGTGGTGGCTGGGTCCCAGGTGGTGTAACCTCCCAATGTCCTGCTGAGCGCCACAGCCCAAGGGAAACGAATGACTGCTCGAATGCTGATGCTCAGAATGCCCCTTGGCAGTGCCCCTCTAACCAGACACCTGGAGCAGGCTCCCAACCACCACCAGCACCAGGAGCTATGCAGGTTTCTCGGAGGAGGAACTGGACACAGGGCTGTGGCATGGACGGAGACCACTGGGCACTGGTCCCCACAGGCAGCAGCCACCCAGCCCTCCAGGAAAGGTGGGATGGGAGGAGGGCCCCAAGTTGTTCATAAATTACTAAACCGGGGTCTGCTGCCACTCT